GTGGGGGTCTGGAAACTGTGGGAGTGGGTGAAGGGGGGGGTCATCTGCCCAGACCAAGGGAGAGTGGCTGGGCCACCGTCGCTGTCTCCAAATGCCTTCCTTGGCAGATGGGGGCAGAGCACTCTTCCTGAAGACAGCTCCAGCAGAAGTGAGCCCTGTGGGCAGCTGCTTGGGGGTCTGTCTTAGGAGGACTTGCCAACACGGAGAGTTATCTCAGTTGTGGGCTGAGCTTCCTGTCCTGGGCTGCACTTGAGCTCAGGGTGCTAGACCATCTCGCAGTCGGAGGTGGTGCCAAAGCAATACCTGTACCCAGCAGGATGCTCAGCCTGGTGGATCCCGAGTCTGGACCCACCCTGCCTCAGTAGGCACACCCCAGATCCCCGCACAGGGCGGACAGTGCCAGGGTGACCTCCAACCCAAGGCTGTGGAGCCCTGGACCAGAACCTGGGGCTGAGGAGGGACCCGGCTAGGCCATCAGGGACATCTTCTGTCTCTTTTTTCCCCCAATAATTCAGTAATCATTTATTCAATATTTGCTTTGTGCAAGATGCCGCCTAAAGCAAGTTGATATGAGCCTGCTTTGTAGTAAATGTGCCCGTAACCAGTCATTGATGATTTCTGCATTCTTCATGTTACAACCCAGTGACATCAGTCCTGTTGCTCATGTCCAACGATTACCATGATCCGTTTCCAAATTCTCCATCACCCTTAACAGAAGCTCAGTGTCCCCTAACAGTGGAGTCCCCCTTTTCCTTTCTTCCCACCGGCTCCTGGTGACCACTGATCAGCTTTGGGCTCCAGGTACTCACCTATCCTAGATGCTTCGTGTAAGTGGCATCATACAGTAACCCTCTGTGACTGACTTATTCCACACAGGGTAATGTTTTCACCTCTGTCTTTTTTTAAACCAACATTTACTGAGCTATGTGTCCGCCAGGAGCTGCTGTAAGAGAGAACTAGACAGGCAGGTCCTCGCCTGCATTCCAGGGGAAACAGCAAACTGAGAGAAAACAAAAAAAAGAAAAAACCATCTCGGGGATAAGTGCTAGTCAGAGACTGCAGTGGGTGTTGGGGAGGGACTGGAGGGCTGCTGCAGATGGGGAGAGGGGAATCAAGGAAGGCCTCTGGAGGAGGTGACATTTAGTCTGAGCCCCTAATGACATCATTACAGACCAAAGATGCTCCACCTTGTCCTGGTCACCACTCACAGGGTCTCCAGTCTCTGTGGATGACTGGCTGCCCCTTGCCACCCCTTTCTCCCTTAGGGCCAGAAGCTTCCGTCCCTTCCCCCTAAGAAGCAGCCCTAAGACATCACAAGTCCCCTGCAGGGCCAAGGA